TATATATATATATATATATATATATATATATATAATTCTTAAACACAAGTAGACCAGTGCTTTATGGAACTGTGAAAAGAAAAAAAAAAAGAAGAAAATATTGTGGAATTAGAAGAAGGTGAAGATTACTGTGCGATTGAAGCAGTCAAAATAAAAAGAAACTGTTAAATTGAGGTGAAAGGCCTCCTGTCTCACGGAAGTACCATAAACGTTGGCAGACGTAAATTTCTGGTTTCGAGTTTGATATGTATAATAATAACTCAGCTGGAAAAGGTAAAGTAGAGTGGTTCGGCGAGGGGGAAGGGGAAGCAAAATCAAAAAGAAGTAGGCAAAAACAAAAAACTTCTTTAACTCCAATGTTCAATCAGAAAAAAAGAAGTGGAAGAGCAGCAATTTGAGAGCAAAGTAGTACATTTTGAAAAATAAATAGGAAGAATTCCAATCGTTTTAAGACCAAAAAACACTTCTAACAGCCTTCTGATATATTGTTTTGAATCGACGCGTAGCGAACGCTTTTTCGAGGGTTATTTTCGCTTTCTGTGCAGTACTACAATTTTCTCTTATTGTCGATTGTTTTTCCTGTATATACGACTGGGTCTGCTGATTGGGTGGGTGCGATAAACACGCAGCTAGGCACATGATACATACAAATGAATACATCTTCTTTCCCTGCAAATACAGTTTACTACTGAACTCGTTGGTTTATTGATTCTATGTTCCATGTATCTGTGATTGTGTTAGGAGACAGCTAGCAGTGTTCCAGTTTCACCGGTCTAGGGGTAGTAGCTTAACTCCTGTGTTCATTTGCTTCATTTGCTCTACAGCAACAAAAAAAGAAAAAAGGTCGGAAATACAAATATATGCTCACGCGAAGAGTAGAAACGATTTTTTGGGACTTTTACAGATGCTAGACATGCCCAGTACTTTTACCTGCAGTGATTTACACCTAAAGCTCTCTTTCTTTCGACTTTTTTGTTGCATGCTCAATTTTAGAAAACTGGATACTGATGTTTTTTGAAAAGTGATGAACATTGTTTTCCTTATCTCATCAGATCCTTGTTCTGTGGACGCTCAATATCTGTAAAAGTTCAACTTTCGTATTGCCTAGAATGTGTGAAATGTTCTAAAATTTCTTCAAGAAGGCGCCTTTAAAATTTTTATTTTCTTTGTCTGGTACTGCTAATGCGGTTATTCCTTACCATTAATACTGTTACATATTGCATGCTATTTTGTTTTCCAGCCTTTGCTGCTTCGGGATCTACTCGTACTTGTTAGTGACAATATTTTAGTCTTTTAACTGCTGAGTGTCGTTGTTTTTGCCTTTTAGATGAACAGAATTTACGCGTTTGAAAAAACTTAGAGAGATGTCAATATTCACAGTTGTTTTTTTTCTTTTTTTGTAGTGAATGGCACCAAAGTCAGGAGCATTCCGGCACTTGCAAAGGCGTATGAGAAGAACGCTTAACTATGGAACTCGCCGTATGCAAAATCTTCCTTTTTCATTATCCGGTAATTCCCAAGTTGCATTTTTCTACTGTTTGTTGCCATTTTATTACGGAGCAAGAAAGTGTTGATTTGTTTTTCTATAGTCTTTATGTTGAATTTATTTTCATCGGCAGATTCAGTTTGGTGTAGATGATATATTCTGCGCCGTGATATGGTTTCATTTCAGAACTGGTGGTCGATTACTTTGATAAAAAGGCTCCGTATGACTACATGGCGATGGATTTCGCCACCACTTTAGCAAGGTTGAATTATAAAGTTTTTGTTCAATTAGTTTGTACGGTTCTGATCTCTGGTTTATTTCAGTCCCCTAGTTCTTATGAAATAGGTAATAAGCTGTTGTATATTGAGATTAATTTAAGCAAATTTATAAATGTGTAATCATTATGAATAATACAATAATTGCTTGGAAGTACTTGTTTTTTAGAGACGGATGTGTCGATGCTTGTACATTCTTGGTCGCTATGGTGTATGTGGACAGGGTTCGAATTGCGGACAAAGCATACTTCGAGTGTTCAGATCCCAACGATATATACCTTCCTGCACTGGTTATTGCGTCGAAATTTTTACATGTATGACTTTGATTTCGTTAGGCAGCATTTTTTCATTTTATGTTATTTATTCATTAATGACCCCCGTTTTTTTGTTTTTTTGCAATCATTCTTTCCTTGCACTGTATTCGCGTCTAGCTCTCCCAGTGACTGTACAGTGATATCATTTTTCAGGATGGTGGTTTGGAAGAATTTGTTTACAACGACGAATGGGCAGCATCGGCAAGCACTTCACTCAACAGGGTTAATGAACTGGAACTGAAAATCCTCGATATATTGGTAAGCAGGCTTTATTGGAATATTTTTTGAGGGGTTTTTAGTAACTGTTTAAATTTATAAAATTAGTGGTCAGAATTTGCGATTTTTAGCTGTGTTTTGTAGGTTTATTATGTTTCTTTCAATACCTGAAGTTTTTTGTAATTCGGTCTTTAGTCCTGGGACGTCAGCGTGAGTGGGAAAGACTTTGAACGTGTTCTTTATGAGGCTGAGGCGTGGGTAGCAAGGAACGCTTTGCTAAAACAGGGCTTCCTCACATACAATGAAGCAGCAATATTAAGCTCAAGAATCTCTTTATTTCACAACATTTTGCTACCTTTCATATCAATTTTTGCGAGTCTGCTGGTCCTTTACTCTGCCGTAATGTTTTCAGTGCTAGTTCTTCCCAAAGTGGCTCTTACCTACAGAATTTATGTTAATGGTAATTTGAGTTGTTTTTTAACACTTTATTCGTTAATACTTAGATTTTAATATTCTGGTGTGGCAAATTTATTTTTTCAATTAGTATGATTAACTAGCTACTTTTTCAGAATCTCGAGGTTTGGTGAAGAATGAAGACTTTTCAAATGTTGACTGTAGTTGCAAAAGCTTTCATCCTAATCTAGACCATATGGGAGGTGCGGAAAAGAAGGAGAGACTTGCATTGGCTAAAAAAGATCCTTGTGATATGGATAAAATTCGCCCTTATAATTTCACGCTTCTTAATTTCTCGCAAGTGCTGTTAGAACTCAATGTAGGTAAAAGAGTAGTATCAATGTTCCATTTTCGATCGTCTACTGATAATTATTTCTGATAGTCATTCGAGTTTTAGTTGGTCAGGAAAAATTTCAATGT